TTCGGAGGAGCGTGAGAGTGGTGAGAGAGAGGGACCGATAGTCCCAGGAATACAGCTTTGTGTTCCTTGCACTATAGTATCCCTTCAACTGGTCAGCTGTTTTATTTTTATCTACTTCAACAAAAATAGATTTGTTAATTTGATTTCCAGCTTCTGACTTGTGTGTATATATGCTGTGACAAACTCCCCTTTCCACGTGAGTTTGCCACGAGCTCCTGGAGAGGCTTGCTTGCCAGCCTCCTGCCCACAGACTATGGGCCCTGCAGGGAACCCTGTAATAGACTACCGAAGTTGACCGACCGTTAGCACTGATTTCATGGAACTGTTTTGTGCACAGTCGGTCACAATTATGACTTCCATGGAAATCCCAAACCCCTGAACCGATCTGGGTGATTTTTGGATATGTTCGTACCCCAGATCGGAGCTATGACTTTTGTGGGGTTTCCATGTGTTTTTAGGGGTACTTTTGGGGTGTTGTTTTATTGCATGTTTTTCTGTGCTTGGAGATAATTGGATTAGATTAGTACAGTTCCTGATCCAATTATCTCCCAGACACAGAGGAGGGATTATCTTAATATGGGGGTAATTAGTGGGGTAATAGCTGCTTGATCCAAGGATACATCTGACTGCTATTTTGGGGTCAAGAAGGAATTTTTTTTTTCCTAGTTTGTTGCAAAATTGGAAGCACTTCAGACTAGGTTTTTTTTGCCTTCTTTTGGATCAACAGCAAAAACGTGAGGAAGGCTGAACTTGATGGACGGAAGTCTCTTTTCAGCTATGTATGTAACTATCTATGGGAGTGTCCTGGATCTGAGAGCCAATGTCATTGTGTATTTGTTTCTACTATGGTTTACTCACAGGTCCAGGAGGGAGTGCCCCTTGCATGGGAACCTGCATATAAGGCTAGTTGTGGCTACCAATAAATGAGTTCCTGCCTACCCTCAACATAGTCTCATCTCATGTGTGGGGAGGAACAGCTGTATCTGCACTAGGGATTGCTATATCACTATACTACTCTGGGTTATGATCACTTGCTCTTGTAAGAGCAGCCTACTTCACTCTCTGGAGTAGGAGAGGTCTGCCCACTGGAAGCTGGATCCTGGTCCTGGTCAGGATGAGTGGAGGATGGCGAGACCCCAGCTAAGCTGTAACGCTGGAAGTGGGGACTACGGTGCTGATGGTGTCTGGTGGAGTGCTTGGAAGTACTCGGAGGTACTAGGAAGCAGTGATTGGCAGAGGCACTCAGTTGGGCTGCCAGGCGGTCCGTCACATATGGATTTTTGTTTGCTATGCTAGGATTAATAGCCATGAATACATGGGTACTTTTTTTTTAATTCTACTGTTATATTGTGCTTTTTAGCATACGTGCTTTAACAGAGCAGTTACCATACATTCTGCCACCTCTGTTTTGACATTTAGCTCATATAGAACTGTGATGACTAAGTGTTGTGAATATAAACCCTGACTCACACTGGATAGGTTTAATGCGCGTATGCGTAACTCCTATAACTAAATAAAACATGGTGTGACATGTTGTTATAAGCCGTACAGTTTTCTATTTTACTGTAATTTTCAATGACATTATCTGCTGTACTGTGTATTATTCTGTCAGGTATTGCAGTTTGAGTATACACATGTTCCTGTTCTGTGTTATGTACTAACCCAAGAAGCATGTATTCATAACACAGGTTTTAGTTTTCTCCAAAAGGGTAAAATGGATATGAATTAAAGCATATCAGGTTTTCCCATATTATTGCAAACCCTCCCCTTCTAACCTCACCCAGTCTTTCTGTGGCTGTCCAATCACACACTTCCAAATGCAGCTCAATGAGAAGTCTTTGCAAGACAGGTGCTCTGGGCAATTGCTGCCTCTTGAGTTTAGCTTCAGTCAGCAAAACAACCAGGAAGTAACTGAATGACAGCCAGGGTGTATAACCAGGTTAACGTTAAGGTGTCAAGTTCTTTTGAAATCTGCTCTTTTTGTAAAATAAGAGGACACACTCTTAACACACACAACATTCTTCAAACTAAAGTGCAATAGGTATTCGGGGTGTCCCTTTAACCCCTTAAGGACTGAGGACGGTTCATTGGCATTTTTGCATTGCCGACCGATGACTGTCCTGAACCGTCCTAAAGGTCCTAGTTACTTACCTGATCGCCGTCGTTCCCCCGGTGGCGATCAGCGTGGCTCCCGGTGTGGGGAGACTGCCTGCAGCCCAGACAGTCTCCCCACACTGAATTAGGACCCCTGTGGCCATGTGATCGCTTAACACAGCGATCACATGGTCACAATAGGTGTCTCCATGTGTCTGCCTGCAGGGGGACTGTCTGTGATGACAAGCAGTCTCCCTGTTAGTGTAAAATCATTAAAAAAAAAAAATTAAAGTTAATGTTAATTAAAAATAAAAATTGTGTGTGTGTGTGTGTGTGTGTGTAATATATGTGTGTGTGTGTGTGTATATATAATGTCATATTAAATGTATTTTTATATTAATATGTACTTATATTATAAAAATACACTTATAATTAAATTACACACGTGTATGTGTGTATATATAACTATATATATATATATATATATATATATATATAATTTATTGTGTGTGTGTGTGTGTATATATATATATATTATAAAATATAAATAAGTAATTTAAATTAAATAAAAAAATTTTTAAATAATAAAAATTGAAAAAAAATTATATCTATATGAAATTTTATTCTAACTGTATTTTAAAATTAATATATTTATATCAAAATACACTTAGAATGAATTTGTATATATATCTATGTATATATAAATAAAAATAATACGAAATATACATATGTCCATATACAAAATTACATAAATAATTATATAAATATACACATAGACTTCATATATATATATATATTTAAATTCTACATGTGTATTTATGTAATTTTTACATAATTCAGTAATTTTATTGATTGCAATTTGAGGGACCTGCCTGCCAACCCAGGCCGAAAGTCCAGAGAATTTAATTTGCTAGCGCTGTATTTTACCCTGTAACGTTCTACGACACCCAAAACCTGTACATGGGGGGTACTGTTTTACTCGGGAGATTCAAAACAGTAAAACATATCACAGCGATGATATTGTCAGTGAAAGTGACTTTTTTTGCATTTTTCACACACAAACAGCACTTTTACTGATGATATAATTGTTGTGATACGTTTTCCAGTTTTAAAACACTAATATTTGTGTTCAGCGATGTCTCCCAAGTAAAACAGTACCCCCCATGTACAGGTTTTATAGCATTTTTGAAAGTTACAAGGTCAAATATATGGGTCAAATATTTTTACATTGAAAATGGCCAGGTTGGTTACGTTGCCTTTGAGAGCGTATGGTAGCCCAGGAATGAGAATTACCCCCATGATGGCATACCATTTGCAAAAGAAGACAACCCAAGGTATTGCAAATGGGGTATGTCCAGTCTTTTTTAGTAACCACTTGGTCACAAACACTGGCCAAAATTAGCGTTCAATTTAGTTTTTTTACTTTTGTCACACACAAATAAATATGAATGCTTACTTTGGCCAGTGGCTACTAAAAAAGACTGGACATACCCCATATTGAATACCCTGGGTTGTCTACTTTAAAAAAAAAAAAAAAAATATGTACATGTGGAGTGTTATTCAGAGATTTATGACAGATAATAGTGTTACAATGTCATTATTGATAAATTTTAAAAATGTATGTTTTGAAACCGCAATATTCTACTTGTACCTATAGCCCTATAACATGCAAAAAAAAAGCAAAAAAGCATGTAAACACTGGGTATTTTTAAACTCAGGACAAAATTTTGAATCTATTTAGCAGTTTTTTTCATTCGCTTTTGTAGATGAGTAAAAGATTTTTCAAGTAAAAGTCAAAAAACTTGTTTGTTTTTTAAATTTTTCATATTTTTTTTTTTTTTTTTAAATTAAAATACATGAGATTATAAATAAATAATGTCCTGTATATAATTTGTATGGGAACAGTAAATGAGAGAGCGGAAAATTACAGCCAAACACAAACACCACAAAAGTGTAAAAATATGCCTGGTCGCAAATGTACAACATCGCAAAAACAGTCCAGTCCTTAAGGGGTTAAATACAGTAAATAAGGTGACATTTTTCTGCTTCTACAATAGTTTGTATTACACAGAAGCATTGACTTGCGAGGGTGTTTTGTTGTAGTTTCGACTCAATGTGTGCGCAGTGATATGGATCCATGGTCAATGAAAATAACATACGTGGGATGAGTGGGATTTAATGAGAATTGGTGCCCTCATGTCTGAACGTAGAGACAAAAAAAGCAATCCAGGGGGCGGGGCCTGACCAGCATGGCTGCCAGACGTGCAGAGTATGAGCTCCTCAAAAAACTCTGGAAAATCGTGCTCTAATGATGGGATACTACCCACAGACACTACTCAAACGCCTACTTACCTGCTCCTGTACAGAGTGAGGACTCTTTGGGAAAGTTCGAAGCACCCCTTTACCTTTTGTGACATGAACCCACATCGGGGCCTACAAGCCTGCACAAGCATCCGACATACTCGACGTCTCGGTGGCCTGCCAAAGCACCTGAGGTGAGGGAGACAGCCGATCCCTTACCCAAGCTTCACTCACACTTGGACCGAGGTCCTGTTCCCCCCCCTCTGGGCCGGCGGGGGATATCCCGGCCCCCACTGGTGGAATCTAGCGGCCTTGGCGTGGCAATACTCTTCTACAGAGGTCGGGAGGGTCGAGGCCTACCTACTAAAATGGCCGCCAAGCCAGGACCCGCTGCTTCACCGAACCCTTCACAGCCTCCTCACCCTGTCGACCCATTGCTGGCGGCTTTTGACCGGCTGTGTGCTCAGTTCTGGGCAAAACTCCGCAAGCTACACACCACTCATGCATCAGACCTGCCCAAGTATACTCACCGCCGCAACGCTGAGGGGACTCCCCCAAATCTTGTCCGCAAACGGAGGCGTAGGAGGATCCCACGACCATCCCAGGAGCCCCGGCGAGCAGGCACTCCGGCTGGTTGCAATCTGCCGGCACCACGAACCACCAAGGGACTTCCCCCCGGGCAAAACCTGCATAGCCGTCAAGCTCCCACTTCACACCGCTGGCAGCCTAACGAAGGAAGTACCCCATCGATCTACCCAGCAGGCAGACGTGGCCGGACTGTAGCAAACACAGCACCTGAGTATGAGGAGGCACGGAGCCGGCGGATCGGCCTGCTACTCTTAACCAGACTCCAGCTTGTCAAGGACAGGGCCTCTCCCTCTGCAGGCATCGGCTGATTAGGCCGCAGACCATTCTACAGCAAAGCTCCTGAGCATATTATGTTCCTACACACAGTTAAACATGTTTTTACTATCTAGTTTCTGCAGTTCCTGTATATGCTATGCTGTAGGCTACTTAATATCTCCCAGTGGTAATTTTACCTTGTTATCCTAGCCATGTAAACAACATGTAATCTACTTTATTAACCCTGATTCCATCAACAATGATATATCTATTAACTAAGCCTGTACCAGACTCATGTACCTAAGAAATGCATGTCCACATCTTATTAGCCCAACACAAATGTCCTGCTATGCTTTTCAAGATTATAATGTTCACACGCTTGTTCTCTTTTCCACTACTAAACTATGAAAAATGTGCAATCCTCACTAATACCATGTTACTGATACCCTATATTTGTTTTACCATACTTGAAAGAGCTGTTGTGGCATATGAAGCTTGACTGTTCACATTTGCACAAAAAAAAAAAAAAAAAAAAGCAATCCATTACTGTCCACTGAAATGTAACAATAGATCAATTTTTAGCGTTACCATGTGAAGAAAATAGCTTCACAAATATAGCTTCATAAAATAGAAGCTTTATTTGCTTATATGTGTGTCTGTGTGTGAACAATCTGACAAAACCAATAGATTTACTAACATAAATAGTTAATGTTAACTGAGAAGCAAATATAGGACTCCTGTCCTAATGTGTTTTACACCCCACCTCCAATAGAATGTAAGCTCGATTGAGCAGGGTCCTCTTCAACCTATTGTTCCCGTAAGTTTTTTGTAATTGTCCTATTTATAGTTAAATCCCCCTCTCATAATATTGTAAAGCGCTACGGAATCTGTTGGTGCTATATAAATGGCAATAATAATAATAGAAACAAAGCAGTGAATTGATTAAGCTATATTTACATTATATATGTATATATGTATATATAATTGACATTTATAAAGCTCCAAACAGATTCTGGAGCATTTTACAATATTATTAAGGGGACTTCAATAAATGAGACAAACTATTACAGATTTTGACAAGAATAATAGGCTGATGAGAACCCTAGTCAAACAAGTTTACAATCTAGAGGAGGTGTGGTGTATGTATATATGTATATATATTTGTGTAAGGGGAAAATAGCCGTATATGGAGTAAGGTTCCAGCATAAGCGTAGGATAGTATAAAGGGAGCAAGTCGGTTGTGATGTGCCGAGACCGACGATACGGTAGGCCTCTAAATAAAGAGGGCCCACCAAAGAGTAAGAAAGTAAAGTAAATGGAAAGAAAAGAGAAAGTGTTGAAATGAGGAGTGGGTGGGAGGGTCATTCTGATGCTGACCTCAAGCGATATGGAGTCAGGTAAGGGGTGTCCCTTATATAGGGTAGTGAATTAATTTAAGCCCCTCCCACAAATACAGGCCAAACGGCCTTAATACTTGTGTAAGGGGCAAATAGCCGTATATGGATTAAGGTTCCAGCATAAGGTATGGTTTGTATAAAGGAAGCAAGTCGGTTGTGCTGTGTGGAAAAAAGGGGAAAGTACTCTGGATGTGAAAGCGTGGTCTTGTGGCATGATTTGCATGGCAAAATTAAGGAACCTGGTAGGGATTGTAGTTCCTTGCAGTTGTATGCACTAAGCAGGAGGTAGTGATTGATGTAGTTGAGAATGTTCCCTATTTGTCTTGTGGTAACTTGCGTGTATGGATGCCGACTCAAGTTGTATGCCCAGTAATGTGATGATAGTGTCTGGGCCTTCTGTTTCTTATGGGGTACTGGGACGCCCAAGTGGTCAACCAGACTAAGCTGCCGTGAGGCTTCTAGTGAAAAATATGTTATCTTTGATCAACAAGAAGTCTTCTAGATAGTGTATGACTGTAAGGCCTCTGGATATGTTATTATAACCAGCACAGAGTATCTGCAAATATCGATAGTAGGCTAATCTGTAGCCCGAAAGTTAAGCGGGGAAAGGATTGCCCATTTTATGCCATGTAAGTGCCAGTGTGATAGATGGTAGCCGTTTCGTGTTGTATAGTGAGGGAGTTGAGACTTGGGGTAGCGGAGGTGTGTGGTGCCAATAAGTCTATGGTTAGTCTTTGTTTAAGGGAAGATTTCCTTGTGACAATACCAATGTGTTTGTGTTTGACGCCATGCTGTAAATAGTGGAGATTGGAAAACCCAAGTAAAAACCCCTCTGCAAATGTTGGCCATGAGTGTGTTTACAGCCGATGGTTCTGTTGTGCTGACTGTAAGTGAGGGTGGGGGCACCCTCAGGGTACTATAATGCCAGGAAAAGTTTGTTTTCCTGGCACTATAGTGGTCCTTTGAGGCCACAGTACCACAATATTTGTGGGTCCTACACTAATTTTAAAATTGGAGACAAACAGCTACTTAAATAGTGAGAGTGCATTGTTAGTACACATCGCTCAAAATGTAAGCAAACACAACTCAAATAATTAAGTTCCATGTCTAAATAATTCAAGTTACAGTGCTTTTAAGTATATATTAATAATGCATTGTGATAACTTAGCTCTATATCAAATAAATATTGTTAAAGTGATATAGCTATCGAAAACTTCCTCAAATGTATACTTTCCAGTGGTAACAGCCAAAATGGCATCTGAAGTAGAAGAGCAGAGCTGGGTGCTCAACCCAAAAGGAATCTGGTTTGGACCCCAAACATACGTAGAAAAAGTGGGAATTGGGGGCACACCTGGAACATGCATTTCTCACCAGTGGTGCTGGAACATTACACACGTGTAAGTGTACAATTTGGATTTCTAGGAATCCTAGGCATTCAATTCAAGGACAAACATTACCATGGGTCTTGACCAGGTTTTTATGCAACTAATCAAACATTGGACATATCTTAGCGACTGTTTTGACAATATGAAGTATCGTAACTCATCCAGTACAATATAACCCCTATACTGCCCCAGGGTACAAATATGGATTAAAATAAAGGTTTAAAAAATAACCAGAGTAGCACCAAGGGCTCCAGGAGTTTACACCTGAGATGTTTATTTGTTTACCTTGGCACGTCTACACCAATTCCAAAAATATTACGCATTTTCATGCATTCTTTAGTAAGAGGCATTTTCACATGTTTTAGCCATCTATAGAAAGCTTTTCAAATACAGCTCACTAGAGAACGATTTAATGACATCATTACACACAGTTTGCTGTTGACATGTGCTACGTGTGTTTTGACAAACACTGCCTTGCTTGTTTACTTTTTGTCAAGGAGCTATGCGTTATCCTCTCAGGTGGCTAAGCTAAGATCAGCTCTGCTAGGCAACAAATCCCATAAGGGTTTAACAAACACAAAGAGGATTTACAAATAACTGAGTAATCAGTAAACTTTTATATATTAACTTAGTGTGCATTAACCATTTGCCAAACTCTAATAGTCAAACAACCAGCCATTGAGGTAGTTTAGTACCTTTGGCCACAAAGGGCACCAAGCAAAAGGGTACTTCAGGAAGCTGAGTTTGGGTAACTTGCAGACCATTCATAGAAGTCTGTACTGCAAATGGATAGTGTTCCATCCCACCTGGATAGATTTGGAAGTTAGAATGATTTAAGTTGAAAAAAGAAAAAGAAATAGAAAGTAGGTTCTATAACTTACCTTATGATGACCCAGATTACGTTGTGGACTCATACGTGCCCATTTGAAAAAGATAAATTAAGTGAAGAGACATGTATATAAATTGTAGGTTATAAAAGTTTACTACATTTTGTTAATTCATAAAAGTGTGATTTGTAGAAATTACACAAAACAATCCATTTTTCTACCGGCATCTAGTTGAACTATCGTTCCAGCTCCTTTATTTTGACCTAAGGTGTGCAATTTTCTAGTTGCAACTATTCATATTTTCTAGCTTAACAAATAACCCGAAATCTGTTGTAATGACTTTGTAAATTATTTGTAATAGTTTACCTAAAATAGCAGAGGTTACCATTTTGAACAAAGCATGTACCTTGAATATATCTGTGAACCATACATGCGTTTGGTAAATTTACTGGATTTTATTGAGAGCTCAAAGAAGTGCACATAATGGCAGAGAATCAAGGGAGGGCAAAAAGAGGATGACAATAATTAGGATAAGCCTTTGCAAGATTGTTTGTCATGTTAGTTATGGTTTACAACCTGGAGTGTCCCCTTCAGCAGCTATTTTACAAATTGTTACTGCAACTAATTAAGAAAACATAGTGTTGTCTATAGAGTTTTTGTGTTGTGGCATACTTACATTGTTATACATTGATATGCTGTTCTTTAAGTAAGACGTGAATATAGTTACATAGTTACATAGATTAAAAGAGACTTGCGTCCATCATGTTCAGCCTTCCTCACATATGTTTTTGCTGTTGATCCAAAAGAATGCAAAAAACCCAGTCTGAAGCGCTTCCAATTTTGCAACAAACTAGGAAAAAATTCCTTCTTGACCCCAAAATAGCAGTCAGATGTCTCCTTGGATCAAGCAGCTATTACCCCACTAATTAGAAAGTATATCCCTGTATGTTATGTTTTTGCAAGTATTTATCCAATTGCAGTTGGAAACATCTGTATAGACTCTGACAAAACCACCTCTTCAGGCAAAGAATTCCATATCCTTATTGCTCTTACTGTAAAAAAAAAACATTTCTTTGACTTAGATGAAATCTCCTTTCTTCCAGACTAAATGTATGACCTCGTGTCCTATGTATAGCCCTGTTTATGAATAGATTTCCAGATAATGGTTTGTACTGGCCCCGAATATATTTGTATAATATTATCATATCCCCTCTCAGGTGCCGTTTTTCCAAACTAAAGAGATTTACATTTTTTAACCTTTCTTCATAACTAAAATGCTCCATTCCTTTTATCAATTTTGTAGCTCGTCTCTGCACTTTTTCTAACGCCATGATATCTTTCTTCAGAACAGGTGCCCAAAATTGCACAGCATATTCAAGGTGTGGTCTTACCAGCGATTTATAAAGAGGCAAAATTATATTTTTATCTCGAGAATTTATGCCCC